CGTATACAGATTGCAGAATCACATCGGTTACACATCCACTGTTTTACATATTGCCATACTAGTGTCTGATGTATTCTGTTGCCTTTCCTATTCTCTACTATCCCCCCTCCCCTCCCCTTCCCTCCCATCTTCTCTTTCTACCCTATCTACTGTAATTCACAAAAATTCTCTTTTTTTTACCTTCATCAAAACTTTCTTTTATTGGTTGTTCAAAACATTACAAAGCTCTTGACATACCATATTTCATACATTAGATCCAAGTGGGTTATGAACTCCCATTTTTACCCCAAATACAGATTGCAGAATCACATCGGTTGAGGATTATTTTTTTTAAGCAACCCATTCTGCTTGCCTAAATTCAAGGTTCAAGTTTGAATTTAACCTACATGTTTTTCTAACCATGTCAATGATTAGTTAATATTAATTTCTTTTGTGGATCCTCTGTTTTGTCCCACGGAGGAAGATAGATCCAAATTATCATTTTATCATTCTATCACTGACATGGCAAAGCATATAACAAGGAGGCCATATCCTGTATCAGCGCGTGTGAAGCTATTATATGAAACAAAACATATGCTTCCTTGTGTTCAACCTCAAAACAGAATCATGGATTTTATGTGTTCATTTGATAAAGCATCTGGTAGGATATATCAATTGGGTAATTTATTATAAGGGTCTTCAAAGCAAGTCACATCCAAATTTTCTATAGCAGGTATGGATTTGATGAGATAKGGTGAAATCAATTTTCACATTTCAAGCTAGTTTAGGGACTCCCAAGTGTTTGCCAAGAGCTTGGGACCAAAAAATCTTCAGATACAATTAATCTAATTTAGAAATCATTTTCCTTCATAATGTAATACTTTTTTCTCCTCAGAAAGGCAGTGTTTTCACCATGACCAACAGCAAATATTGTGCATGAATGCTAGATATAGAAGATATATAATCTTCTATATCTAGTGATATAAGATTAAATTTGTTTCTCTGGTACCACCTCTTTCTATTTGGCCATTCTGAATTCCTCTGATCTGTATTAACATCCCTATGTGTTGTTCCCCTTTCCCAGTGGTTAGAGCCCTAAAGAAGTCCAGGCTTTGGGAGACCTGAAGAGCCCTACTGCCCATATCTCTGCCCTTCACTAAATTCTTCTATAGGTGAACACACAGCTACTCCGGAAGCTGCGGCAGGAGGATCACAAGCTTCACTTAGTGAAGCCCTGTCTCAAAATTTAAAATTTTTTTTAAAAAGGGGTGACTTAGCTCAGTGGTAGAGCACCCCTTGGGTACAATGCCCACCACCATTAGAAATCCTGTGAGATTTTTTATATATCATATCATGTTCCCTATACTAGTACCCACCCTCTCCTACCCTAGCCCACTTTGTTGGAAAACAACTCTTCAAAACACACAGAACAGTCCTGCTTCTATTACCTGYATTTATTGGTAACTTGCAACAAAATTAGAAGTCACTGGTAGAATTTTATTTTGAATGTAAATACACATAAGGGCTGCTCATCAATCCTGAGCTAGAATTCACAAAGTCTATTCATCAATAATATACCTGCTTCCCATTTTTCCTCTCTTGCTTTTACCTTTGGCCAGCATCTGAATTCAGAAGTACATTTGGCCATTATTCTGGAAGAGTGGAGAAGAAAGTGGAGGAAAAAAATCAGGCATCATGCTATTGTGCTAGTAATGGCTGGAAGTGGGGAGAAGAATTGAAACAAAAAGCCAAAGTTACTAGTGGTTTATCCATGTCATCAGGTCCCTTAACCATTATGTTTGTCTATCCACAGAACAACAATTACCAAATTTTCAATTGGCAAATTAAAAATATAAATTTTCATTAGCTAGGCCCTTATCAAGTGACTCACATACTTTAGATAATCAACTATTTCTGGTTTTTAAGTCTCATTTCCTGAGGACATGGTGTAATTTCATATATTTTCCTTGTTATTCTCTGAGTATACATCTTACATAATGMTCATTTTCTTATGTAGACATCCCCCAAACAAACTGTTTGGGGAGGGGATACCACTAACATTTAATATACATATTACTAAAAAGATGTGACAGAAAACTAAAATCTAGTTTTGATTTCAGAATTTGGCCACAACCAGTAGATATTTGCCTACAAAAACTGAATCATGACAAGAAAATAACATCCTGCTATATTTTTTCAATTTGACTTCATGTATTAGGGAAACCTTAACAGATTACGGTTCATTGAGAGGTAGCATTTCAAGTATCATTGTGGATAAACCAGTAAAGCACATTTAACATTCAGAGAAGGACCTTGTCACCTGAGTTCTTAGTTTTATTAAGGAGCTTAACTCAGGGAAAGTGCTTTTCTGAGAGGGGTGGGTTTTATTGCTAATGGAACACTGAGTTATGAGAATGGAACACCAGACATGAGAGTGCTTAATGGTTAACAATTTGCACAGCGAATAACCTCTTTTCCTGATGTCTSTGACAGGGCCGCGTCAGTTGTACTGGACGGCTGATGGTACAGGCTGTCAACCAAAGAGGTCGCAGTCCCCGCTCTCCTTCAGGCCATCCTCATGTCAGAAGGTATTTCAGATGTTCCTTCCTGTAGGTGTTACTGTGTACTTATTACTATACATTTAGGACTGCTGGAATCATAGTATGACAACAAAAGGGAATGGAATYAGAAGACAGAACATGGATGCATAATTCAAGTGTATGATCCTTGATTATTATGCCCCTTTGCAGTGCCAAAAGGGGAAGGAAAAAAACATTTGCTAATATGTGCTGAGTCTATTCAGATATACCATTGTTTGTCTATTAAGTATGGCGTGTTTTATATATGAAGAAATCAAGACTTGGTACCTTTAGATGGCACATGAACACAAAAATACTAGTAAATGGAACACAAATGTTCCAAAGCAAACTTCTCTAACCAACATCTGTGAAGACTTATCATTATAAGTTGTTGCCACTGGATTTCTTAAAATCAGCTAGGTTGTTAATGTACATTTTTAAATTGCTTAGTTCGAAACATATTAGACGATGAATTGTGTAGGTAAGATTYATCATATTATAGATGCTCAAATATCTGCTAACAGTTGAGTCTGCTTTCCATTCCTAGTAGCCCTGAGTCTATGAAAGGACACTGACAGAATGCTGGCAGTCAGGGAGAGAGAAAGGATGTTATTTCTTGTAATGTATTTGGCCTAAAACAATATGGTAAGTCAATCAGCCTGTTAACCTAGGTTTCTATCCAGATATTTTACAGACAGRACATCCYGAAATAGTCCTGMTGGTAAGATACAAGCCATAGATGCACCACAAAAAGAGAAACATAGTTAGACTCACAGAGGAAAGGCAGGAAAACTGAGTRAGCATCAAGCAAGAGATGTGTCTATACCACCGAATGTGACTGAAGCCACAGTCTTTTGATCAACATCTGGATGGCATTTGGATGACAAGTACCTGGGCATGTGCAAATTTAATTCCAAACTAGTGCAGCAAAATCTGTTAGATCTTAGACCTGTATCTCAGGCTATAAACACAACATCGTTTCAGGTTCATTGTCTTGCATTTTTCTCTTCTGCCGCTCCTATGGTCTTTAATACATCAAAGCTTTTCCTTATATCAATAGATCCTACAAAGAATTTTTATCAGATCTGTATTTGGAGAAAATGATTATCAGCCTAATATACTAATCTTTTATTTGTTCCACTCATTTTTTTGTTTTTTTCTAGTGAAGTGTTTTTAAATTTATCTTCCAGTGGTTACTGACAAAATTTATATCCAACATGTTACTCATTTCATAAGTCTTTCCTGAAATACAATTGTATTCCTCTGGCAATATACTACACAGAGGTGTGCAAAATGTGAGAGATTTGCACAACCTTGTTTTTTATATATATATATATATATATATATATATAATTTTAGTTGTATATGGACACAGTACCTTTATTTTTTGTTTTTTATGTGGTGCCAGGGATCGAACCTAGTGCCTCACACATGCTAGGCAAGCACTCTACCACTGAGCCACAACCCTGGCCCACAACTTTGTTTTTAAAAAGTAAAAATGATCCCTTTAGGTACATAGATAATTAATGCAGAAGATTTGTTTTCTTAATTAATATGAAAAGGAATTTTGATAATATATTAAATTTTTTAAAAGAGCTTTTAATTTCCTACAAAATTATAATTGGTGGGAAGTTAATAGTCATTTCTATTGAAAAAGATTCAATTAAAAAAATCTGATAATAGAAAAAGCTGCTCTTACTGCTAATGTAAAGTTTTAAAAAATATTTAGGAAAAAATGCTCATTTTTCATTTCCCTTTTGTGATTCATATTAGTCTGCAGTTAGCAGATTATTAAATTTATCAGACTTCCAAATTAAACAAGACTTTGCTTTTCTGACTTTTTGATGCATAAATCTTGGGAATGGGTAACAGATGAGGAAATAATAAGATTACCCCCATTGTATTATAAGAARACTGAGGACAAAAAGCTTGGAAATAACTACTATCTATCCTGATGCATCTTGTTTCAAGGCCTCGCTCTAGATCAAGAGACAGTGGAGATGAAAATGAACCAATTCAGGAGCGATTCTTCAGACCTCACTTCTTACAGGCTCCTGGAGATCTAACTGTTCAAGAAGGAAAGCTCTGCAGAATGGATTGTAAAGTAAGTRTTTGTTATGCTGCAAAATTACTGCCTCATTTCTCTCCTCAATGCCATTTCTCTACAGTTCTTTTTGGGACGTTACGTAAAATAGAAGATGATGCCAGATCAAAAGAAAAACTAGCAAAATATACTCAGCATCTTTATGCTGTTTCGCATCATGATTTTCCTTACTTTTAAATTTGTCTTAAATATTTTCTTTACTCTGAACCCTACATACCCTATCCAAGAAAGGTTTTATTTATCCCTTTAAATTTTTCATTTTGTTGAAGTAATAAATGTGATGAATCTGCCATATGCCCTAATCAATAGGGGATCTTCATTCTTTTTTCATGAAATATATCCATCTATCTACTCTTTTATTCTTTCCATTTTCTAGAAATTCTTAGATAAGTTARAGTGACATTCGTCTTTCACCTGTTTTACCAGAGCTTCTTAACCCAGGGTCCTTGGGTAAGCAGGCTTTATTAGATGTGAGTTCTGAAACTATATAGAAAATTGTGTATGATACAGTTTTCAGCAGTTTCTCAAGGGAATTTCAGGCCAAAAATGTTTAAGAACCACTGCTCTCATGAAAAATACTTTCATTTGGTTTTTGCTCTACTTAAATGATTTTAAAGTAAACATGGATGAGATTCTTAAAATTTGGGTTCCCTCTGCTGGTTCTCTCTGGGATTGCAGAACATAAATATAACTGCTTTGAGGATCTTGGCATTACCTGCTTTTTCAAAAAGTCAGTCTGGAGTTGAGGATATAGTTTGGTAATACAGCACTTGCCTAGCATGTGTTCTGGGTTCAATCACCAGCACCACAAAAAAAGAAAGAAACACAAATAGGTAAATCTGGGCTTCTAGGAATGTATAGAAAGAAAAATGTATTGTCAAAAACATTCTATTGTCCAACATGATTCATTTTGCAGTATAAATACACAAGTTGAAATCCATATGTATATTTACTTTATTTGTAGTCTGTAAAAATTCATACATTAGAACTAAATGATCCAGCAGTCCTACTGTTCATACATAGCCAAAGAAAATGAAAAAAATGTCAGGATACCTGCACTCCCATGTTCATAGCAGCATTATTTGTAATAGCCAAGATATGGAACGAAGCTCAGTGTCCGTTAACAGATGAATGAATAAAAAATACATGTATGCACAATGTGAAACTATTCAGCCTTTAAAAAGAAGGAAATCTGCCAGGTGCCATGGTGCACTCCTGTAATCCCAGCAACTCAAGAGGCTGAGGGAGGAGGATCCTAAGTTCAAAGCCAGCCTCAGCAACTCATCGAGGCCCTRGGCAACTTAATGAGACCCTGTCTCAAAATAAAGATAAAAAGGGCTGGGGATGTGGCTCAGTGGTTAAGCACCCCTGGGTTCAATCCCAGGTACAAAGTGGGGGAAAAGGAAGGAAATCTTGCAATTTGTAACAACATGGATGAACCCTGAGGACACTATGTTAAGTGAACTAGTCCAAGCACTGAAAGATAAACACCACATGATCTCCCTGTTATGCAGAATCTAAAAGAGTCAAACTCATAAAAGCAGAGAGTAGAATGGTGTTGCCGAGGGGAGGAGAACTGGGGAGACTTTGGTCAAAGGACACAGAATCTTAAGTTAGGAGAAGTAAGTTCAAGAGATCTGTTGTACAATGGGGACTAKAGTTAATAACACTGTATTATAGACTTGGAAGTTGCTAAGAAAGCAAATTTTAAGTGYTCTTATCACAAAAAGTGATAAGAATGTGAGGTAATACRTGCGTTAATTATCTTAAGTTAGCCATTCAGCAATGTATACATATTTCAAATCATACTGAACACAATAAATACAAATAACAATTTTTTCAATTTCTAAAAATTTTCCAAGAATTATTATTATAGTTTTTAACCTACAAAGTTACATTTCAAGTCATCTAAAGAAATTTTATTATAGATAGGTCATTAGATAATACCAAGAAATTATTAATTTCATGTATAAAATGAAATAATAATTATGTATAAAATGTATATTTCTTTAAATGTATAATTAGGTAGATAGGGATAAAATTATATAAAGTCTGGAATTTATTTTATAATATAAAAAATGATGAGAGTGAATCTAAATAATGGGTGTATRGAGATYGACCATACTGTTGTRKCTACTTTTGGTCATATTTTAAAAAGAAGYCAYAGTAATTTATTTYACAAATTGAGCACASAAGTTGAATTTCAGTAAATGTATTYAAGTATTTCAGTAGCATAAATGTCCTTAAAACCTCTGCCTTTAAAAGAATATTGGGAGGAAAAGTAGTCTGTACTTGATTTCACTATGATGGTCTGACATAGATGAAGAAAATGTTCAATCCTGCCACATGAACAGATGGAGTGTTACCTGCTTCAGAGAAAAATAAAGTCTTCAGTGTGTTTTAAGCTTTGACAGGGAAAAGAGACTTGATAAGCCAAACACGAAAGCAACAGCTTGCTCTTTGCCCAAAAGCCCCCCACCCCAACTCCTGGCACACATTCCTAGACACTGAGTACCCTTCACCCAGCACTGAGGCTTGGGGAAATACCTCTTCCCGCTGCTCCAGGAACAAGCGTGCCCTTCTGTCTCCCCAACAGAACTGCTCGCTAGGACCTTCAGCTCCTGGGACTGCTGCATTCTTTCCTTACTTACCAGGGGGACCGGGGTTAAAAGAATATGACTTTCCCTTTGCAGGAACATGAGTAACTCTGCCCACTGGGACAGGTCCACTGTGAATTAGGTGGCTGGAGAGTACACAGTGCTTTGGGCACYTCTCCTACCAAGCACACTACGGCCTGCTCGTCTAGGATCTAACTAGTGAAGTGGGAATCAGYACTATTTCTAAGTTTGGGAAAGGCCTGGGGCCAGACCTAAAGTATCTACGCCCGCTCCCTGCATCACTTCTAGTGACCTCCAGACGGGCAAAACTGTGTAGGTGGAGAGCTGGGGGATAGCAAGTAGACAGATGGGACAACAGAGCCTAACCATCACAGAAGCCAAGCTGCCTGACTACGGCTGTTTGTTTCCAAAGTCTATTCATGCTTTTAATCCACCATTGAGTACACTTAATTTTTTTTCTTTCAACTCTCTGGACTTTTTGGTTCATTTCTGGGAGGCATCTTGTAGGTAATATAAATGAATAAATATCATCACAGAGCAGAAGTGGAGTGTGTGTTATCTGACTGATTTGGGCAAAGCTGGTTCTTCAAAGAAATTGTTGTATTATGCAGCAGATGTGCTTTGTATATAATTTCCCACTAGTAAAGTTGGAGATCAGRGAGGTAAAAAGGCCCTCCTCAGCAGTGCCTTTCTCCTATTCAAAATCAAGGACAACACTGTAAAAAGCTGGCAGATGGCAACCATCCCTACCCTTCACAGTACAACGTGTTATTAGCAATTAAATGTGCTTTTATCTGATCTCTGGTCAACACAACYGTCATGGTCTCAAGATTTTATGACATTTCCATTGTGATGCTAATTTGTTGAGATGGCTTTCTGGGTAATTTCATATTGCTCTTGTTACTCAGTTTCAAAGATTATTAAATAATAATAGCTCTCTGTGCTGATGGATGCATTAACTAATGTCTCCATAGCAATGCCACTCCTTGATGAGAAGCTTTAGAGTATATAAATGCCAGCTGAGTGCTTGTTATTATGGTTGGACATCTTTTTTCCAAAGAGCTCAGAGCCTGGTGCTGACATCATCCCAGGAATTTTTATAGTCCTGGGTGAGGTAAGATAATGACAGAAATTTTTTAAATCCCTATTTCACTTGTCTCCAAGTTGTTCTGTAAGAAATGTTTTAGAAGTAAGCCTGTGAGTGTTTAGAAAACCATGGAATAGTTTTAAGCAAAAAAGTGACACAAGCTAATTCTAAAATCCATTTCTTTTGCTRCCAAAGGAGGAATGTATGCTGGTCTCTTAGCTCTCAGTGATTTCACTGTTTCARTATTAAAAAAATTTACACGTCTTTCCTTTCTGGTTTAGGTCAGTGGGTTACCAACCCCAGATCTAAGCTGGCAACTAGATGGAAAGCCAATTCGCCCCGACAGTGCACACAAGATGCTTGTTCGTGAAAATGGGGTGCACTCTCTGATCATAGAGCCAGTCACATCCCGAGATGCCGGCATCTACACGTGTATAGCCACCAACCGAGCAGGACAGAACTCATTCAGCCTGGAGCTTGTGGTTGCTGGTAGGCTTCTCTGTGAATCCTTTCTCTCTGCCAGAATGAATGTCAGATTACACTTATAAATGAAGTCTACATTATTTAACCAATATAGAAAATAAACCACTGACAAAATAGATTATATCAAAAAAAAAAAATAGATTATATCATCAAAATCACCAGTGAGGACATGTTATAAGGCTTAGCAAATCAGAAATAATTTTTCTTACTCCAGTATTCTTCTTTTCTCCCACTAACCTGAACAAGAAGGGAAAGGATTTTAGCAGCATTTCCAGGTTCTCATATATGTGATAGCCCCAGTATTACACAGGGAAAGAATATTAGCAGCACAGGCCCCMAAAAATGAAAAATATGATTATAAATCAAATTCAACACACAGAACTCATTTTTAACAAAATGTGTAGTGATTTCAAATTTCAAAAGGTTTAAACAACATTGTCATCTATACCCAGTGCCATAATCAAGTTAAGTTCAGATTTATTTTTCAATTGGTTATACTGTGATTGTAGGTAAATTTTGTAGCAGGATTATTTTATGAAGTCTTACCCTTTGAGAAGCCTAAAAATGAAACTATGCTTATTGAAAAATTTATACCATTTTTAGGAGTTAAGCATAAGTAAAGATTCTAATTATCTTTTTTTCTTTCTTTCTTTCTAATGGCATTGCTCTACCACTGAGCTACATCTCCAGCCCTTTTAATTTTTTATTTTGAGACAAGGTCTCACTAAATTGCCTATGCTAGCCTTGAACTTGTGATCCTCCGGCTTCAGCCTCCTGTGTCGCTGTGATTTCAGGGGTGCATGCTGCTGCTGCACCAAGCTCATCTGGTCTCTTTTATAAAAGAAGCATAACAAAACATAAAGTTTATTTCTCATACCTCATATTTACAAAGCACTTCATACACATTATTTCAATTAGTCTTCACAATAGCCCTATGAAATAATTGGAGCAAATCTTCTCTGACTTTCCTATTTAGTAAACTGAGAATCTGACTCAAATCAAAACTTACTGTGAGTACTGAACTTTTTCAAGAAATAGAGTGGCAAGGAGAATAAAACCTGAGAGGTCCTGGCTAAAATCCTAATGATGATTCTAACAATAGGACCAAGATATTTTTCCACACACAAAAAAGGTGGTAAATGTGTAGGCTGTRGTGCAACTTCAGCTATGTTCCTACACACTGGATTGGTTTCATTCATTCTTCTAACCTTAAATGAAAACTGTTCCTTTTTCTATTAAATGTACATTTTGATCATATCTGTCCTTCAGGACTGAAATTTGGGGGTCCAAGAGACAGATATCTCAGTATACCTCTCTTCACACTTCTGTCAGAAGATGACAGTGCATGGTAATTGGAATCAAGGTCTTTGGCATCAGATCTCAGTGCCAATCCCAGTTCATGTCTACTTTACTAGCCTTGTGGCCTTTGGCAAATATATGATATCATATATCAGCATCTCAGTTTCTCCATATGCAAAATGGTGACCATAACACATCTCAGCATTTTTACAAGAATTAATTACTGTGTATGCGGTTCCACATAATGAGTACCCTGCACAGTGCTCCACAAAGGAACATTATTCTTACTGGTGAGTGGCTACGACATKAAGGCTTGCTTTCAACATTTTATGTTCTTTTCAAAACTGAGACCCAGAAAAAATATGAGGAGAGCTTCTGTTCCCACTTCCCCCAAAATAGCTTAGCTCATATAACCTCGGAAAATTAATAAAAACAAACCCTCTATGTAAGTCAAGGTCTGAGAAAGTCTTAGGCATTTGGAAATTTCAGATTGAATGTTCATCATCTTTGAGCTCCCTCCTAGCTACTTTATTGGGGTGTATCTGTCACTCCAGGCGAGAGAGTGGTGGTGCAGAAAGACATGTATATATCTTCAAATTTTATTCTGGCAGCTTAGAAGAGAATAATTAAACCTAATTCTTTCTTTGATTTTGTTTCTACCACTGATGCAAGAAAACAATTTCTCATTGGGAGATAACATTCAGTGTTATTATCAGTTCTGATCTTTTCAGACTACATAATAAAGTTGTCTTCATTTTATGGCTTCCTTCCTATAAGGCAATAATAAAGTTGTCTTTTTTATAGCTCCCTTCAAAGAATACAAATTGAAATTTGTAATTTATGGGATGTACATTCCTAGTTCATAGGRAACTATTTAAAGCTACCAGATTGCCATAATGATGCCTGCTCTGTATTTTCTTTCCCCCTTTATATCCTCTGGCATGTCTCACCTAAACCAAGGATTTCAAATTTTCAAAATCTTCAAAGCAAACATTTCAGATGGAAGTGAGGGAATCTAAGYAGATCAGACTCCTAGAAATGCTTGTCCTGCTCAGCACCACTAGGTGGCAGTGGTTGGTAGAGGCTGTGTGTGGTGACATAATTAGTGAAGCCATCTCGGATACTAGCAATGACTCGGGCATCTCCTGTGGCTGTTGGACAGGCATTCTGTGGAACAGATGGCCAATGGACTGTGTGAGCCTATCAGACTTGAATTAAKTGAGGAAATAAATGAGTAGAAAGTTTACAAACCTTTGCTTGATAAAAGAATAATTTGGACAGAGACTAGCATCTTATCACCTGAAATGAAAAATKGTATTATAAAAGATCTTTTCAAGCAAAATTTGTAAAGGCTTCTGAATTCTTTGCAGTGCTCCTTTTGTATATCATTGATAGACAATCCATCTCATGTTCCCTTAGCTAAAGAAGCACACAAACCTCCTGTGTTCCTTGAGAAGCTGCAAAATACAGGAGTTGCTGATGGGTACCCAGTACGGCTCGAATGCCGCGTCTCAGGAGTACCACCACCTCAAATATTTTGGAAGAAAGAAAATGAATCACTCACCCATAGCACAGATCGAGTGAGGTAAGACTACACAATTACTTAATTTAACCCATAGCAGCTCAGTTCTAGTGATATATAAAAAGATACATTTTATGTACCATTTATATCAGTGTATGCAAAAGCCATGCTATTGATTATACCAAAGACAAAAATCACTCTTTACCCAAATATAGATTTAAACCTTTAGATAGATACTATATTGATATGTGACAAAGCATWTTGTCTTAACCTAACAGTAATTATTTTTAAATGTTTACATCAAAAGAAAGGATGAATTCATTTGCTTCAGTGGTGACAGACTATTCAGTGGTTTTTGTAAAAGCAGATCCTCAACTAGGAATTAAGTGCACAGATTTATTCAACCTCTTGAGGTCTGCTCTTCTCTTCCATTAACTTTAATGGGGCTAGCAGCCTCTCCAGAATAAGTATGACCCTATTATCTGCCACTTGCACAATTCTGTTTCTAATRACCTAATTAAGAATGATGCTTCATGTCCAAAGTCCCTTTTTAAAAATTTAGAGCCTAATGACTTTATCCTTTTCTCTAGCATGCACCAGGATAATCATGGATACATCTGCCTGCTCATTCAGGGAGCCACAAAAGAAGATGCTGGGTGGTATACTGTATCAGCCAAGAATGACGCAGGGATTGTGTCCTGTACTGCCAGGCTGGATGTTTACAGTGAGTGCCACTTCATTTCATCTGGTTGCATTTACTCATTGAATTATGAAAATTTAAACATMTGAACAGCAATTCATGTTACTCTTATCTGATCTTTTTAAACAACTCTAGCATTTTACTTGTCAARAAATTTATATTGCTCTTTCTCTTTCTGTTTATAGTTTCTCGACATTAATAATGAAACCCCAGCAGGAGAACAAATACCCAAGTATCATTAAGGAGCTTTGAATAATTAGCAAGATATGCATGTTGATTTCTCTTACATTGGCTAGTCAGTTGTGGCTTCCCTACTTAAGCATCCCTAGGAGTTAACAGTAGTCAAAGGCATAAATGTCACATTTTCTTATTACTGCGTTCTGCAAATAACTGTCTTTTAACATTTCTTCCTACATTATAATCCTATCATGGTGTCTTAATGCACTCTGAATGTGTGTACCACTGATGCTGGAATGTGTACTTTTGTGGCTTGGTGCTTTTCTCATTAATCTTAAGCAGCTCAGCAATAGATTTGTGTGTGTATATTTGTGTACATGCATCCAAAAAAATTTTTTAAGTTCCTGCTGAATTTATAGATTAGAAAAATAGCATTATATGATCCATTGGCATAAGGAAAGCCATCAGAAAAAGATTTAAGAACTAATTTCAAATTTTACCTCTTGAAAAAGAAATAGCTTTGTGAGATTCATCAATAAACCAGTGGCTTAAACTGTCTCTACTRCCCAGTTCTTTCCATTCAATTTATTAATGTTAAACATGCCTCCACAATTCTTAACTACTATAATTATTGATGAAAAGGTATGTTTTTCAAAGAGGAGGAAGAACCATGCCTGTAACCCTAGTGATTTGAGAAGGTGAGTGAGGCCGGAGGATCACAAGTTTGAGGCCAGCTTCAGCAAACTGTCAGAYCCTCTCTCAAAATAAAAGATTAAAAAGGACTCGGGATGCAGCTCRGTTGTAAAGTGCCCATGGCTTCAATCCTCCTACCAAAATTTTTTTAAAAGGAGAAGTGAGAATTAGGAAAGTTATTAACTATTTGAAAGGATTCCCAGTACTACAGTATTATTTTAAAATGAAAATAAACTATACTTGACCTTTATTACCAATACAGACAATAAATCTACAACATATAAGTAAAATGCAAAGGTATCCCTAGATTTTCTGTCTCCACAATGGATGTGTTGCCTTTCACAAAGAATATGTGCCTGGTATATGTCAAAAGACATTCTGTATTTACTTGAAATACTTAAGGGCTTTCCAAGTGTATCTTTRTTAAAAATCTTAATTTACTCTTTCTTTGTAGCCCAGTGGCATCAGCAGCCACAGACCACCAAGCCAAAAAAAGTACGGCCCTCAGCCAGTCGCTATGCAGCACTTTCGGACCAGGGACTAGACATCAAAGCAGCGTTCCAACCTGAAGCCAACCCATCTCACCTGACACTGAATACTGGCTTGGTAGAAAGTGAGGACCTGTGATCCAGCATTGTTGTTAAAGTTGAAACACCRAAACCGCCATTGCCTTGACCAACATATTCCTCCACCACGTTATGTAAAAGGCAGAAATATACCTTTGACTATAAGAAATAAAAAGAAAAACACCAAAATAATATTTTTCTTACTTGACATACCAAACTAGAGTTTAAGTAGGTGATACATATAGAAAGACACACATTGCACAAAAAATTCACATTTATTATTCAGTTTAAAACTTGGAATTGCGTGATTAAAGTGCTCTGAAATGCCAAAATGTTACAGGAAATCAGTTGTTCAAAAATAAACATAAATGGACAAGTGCCTTTAAACACAAACTATAGGTGCTATGTAGCACAATAGCGCGAAATGTTTAATGTGATACTACAATGATTCTAAAGTGCAGTGTATTCAACAGCTACAGTGAACCAAGTGCAATATGTAAGGATGAAAAGGAAGAGAAAATGACAAAGAAATCCAAGTAAATGCCTTGTCTTTGCAAACTGTTTTATATTAAATCATAAGGAACTACTTGCCTTAATTTTTATTAATACCAAGAGTTTTCTAACAAGGTTAATATCTTCGTTCTTAACCTTTTTTTTTCTTTTGTGTAGTATTCTCTTTTCATGCTACCTTGGTAAGAAGCATATTTACAAACCATATTAAAAGGCTAATTTAAATATAAATAATATAAAGTATTGTGAGTAAAGCAGATATATATTATAGTTCATTCCACAAAAGGCATCCAAATCGCCCAAATGACCAAGGTATATAGTATATTTGGAGGGAAAGAGGGTTTGGAAGGAGTAGGGAGGAGAATGAAGGAAAATGCTACCAGCACAATTGTATTGTATTCATTTAGAAAAAAGTAGAAGGGGCAGGAGAGGTGGCAAAGGCCAGGCTTTTCTTTGGTTTTCTTCAGAATTAATCGTAAGGTGCAGGTGAAAAAACACTGCCATTCACAAGTCAAGATGGAAGTTTGGAGCACATGTGCTATGGAGATTTCAGTGTTATCTGAAGTTTGTGTAGTAGTTGAAGATTTTAGATGTGTAGAGCAAGTTGAATATGGATTGAGACCGCAAGAGTGGCATAAATGAGAAATTGCCTGTAGAATCTAGTGTACTTGATGGAAATGGAGAGTTAAGGAGAGTCAAAAACAAGTCTGTGCTTAATGCATTTTTTTCATTGGCACTAGATATGGTGAATGGAAGCTATTTCACTCCCCTGCTGCAGCGAAACCTTGCCTGAAGAAGGTGCTGGGTTCTGAGTAGTTTGAAAGGCATATCTACAAAGACTGCTTTTTGAATGCATACGATTCTGCATCAGCTAGACTGAATTGATTCTGACCAGACTTGATAGTTTTAAGTCGGAACCAATAAAATTTTTAAATGAGAAAAAATAATTTGGCCTAATAGTATAAAACATGAGGCTTTAATGGTACTTTGCTATGAAAAGAAAACACTGTATTCCTTATGCAGAACACATATATCTTTCATTATTTATAATAAAAGTGTTGAACTTTCTTAGCTCAGTTACTCAATTCATACATAGTATTTTTTTAAATAATTTTATATCTGTATACCACCCCATATATTTCATATTACTGCTTCACATGTACAGCTTTCTACTTTGTAAGAACACCAACCAACCAAGTTTTAAATGATTAATAGGCTTGTGCACCAGGTGGCAGATGTTCTATACAGCATGGTACAAGTTTCTTTTACCACACTTACATGCATTGCTAACATGGAGTTTAAGATACTATACAGACAGTCTCCTGGACCTATATCTGTATTGTAGAATTATGACTTATGTCATATATTGCCAAATTGTTCTGAATGTGACTTTTTTGCTAATTTGCTGGGTTTGGGATTAACTAGCATTATTTTGCCACCTTTTATGTTGTATTTATAAAAAAAAAAGTACTATCATACTACTTTGGATTGTTGTGCTGGTGTAATGTGGATTTAACATCAATAAATATTTAACAAATAATAGTGCAGTTTTGTGAAGCAAAATATTCAGTTGTTTTAGTTTTCTGCTGCTGCTGTAATAAATTAGCAAAACCTTCTTTAGAAGCTTCAAGCAACATCCTAATGATCATAGTTCTGCATATCAGAAGTTTGGGCATGATGCATCTGGGTTCTCTGTTCACAATAAGACTAAAATTGGTGTCAGCTGGGCTGCATTCTAGTTGGAAGCTCAAAATGTTCCTCCCAGCTCAAGTGACTGTAACAGAATTCAGTTACTTGCAATTGTAGGACAGATGTCTTTTGTCTGTCAGGTAGACACTGCACTCAGCTCTTCAAGGCCACCTGTATTCCTTGCCAGGTAGAACTGTCCATTTTCAGAGCTAGCAATGTGAATCTCCCTCTTATCACATCCTTCTCGCACTGTGATTCTCTTTTGTCAAGGAGCCAGTCCCTTTTATAGGTGCACTGATTGAGTCAGGCTTCCCAAGATAATCTCCCTTTCTTAAAGTCATCTGATCTGGAACCTTAATTATATGTATAAAATCCCTTCAGGGTAGCACCTACATTTGTGTTTGATTAGATGACTAAGAGAAGGTGTATGTACATACAGCAAACAGAGACTGGGTACCATCTTAGAATTCTTCCTCCCACATAAATTTGTTATATGTAGCCATGTAAATGCATGTGTTCACCAATGCCATGGATTGCAAGGGTTCATAAAATATTCCAAGATAACAGAAATAAAGATCAAAGGAAGAAAATAAGAAAAGCATTAATGGAACAAGACATGAGCAACACACACACACACACACACACTCTCTCTCTCTCTCTCTCTCTCATATACATCTCTCTGTATATTGCACTAATATCTAGATAGTTACAACAGGTGGACAATACATTTAAGCTTTCTCACCACGGGGGCAGGGGAAGATAAAGCTTGTCATTTAAGTAATTCATAGCCTTCATAAATTGAAAACATTCATCTTTTATATAAGCTCTGTGATGGAACTTTATGTATACATTTGAATTAGGCCTGAATTGGGTATTTCACATTATCCCCAATGCCCTATCCCTTCTTATGTTGGAGCTTACAAGATCTACTATATATTTTAATGCTGAATTCATCTCTGATTTGAAAAAAGTGCAATAATCAACTTAGCTAGCCTAGTAGTAGAGACTAATAAAATGAAAAGTATGATTTTCTTTACATTATGGAAATATGGATTCTATAACATGGTAATGAAGAACTTGGGTTTTGGAGCTGGCCAACCAAGATTTGGATCTTAGCTTTGTTGATCATGAGTGACCTGTGGGACCCATGAGAAAGTGACTCCCTCTCCAAGTTTCAGTTTTCTTATCTGTAAAATGGAGATAAAACTAATACCTCTTTCTTGTGTGAAGATTTATGAGATAACAATGCATGTAAAATTTAACATGGCACCCAGCACATACTAAGAGTTCAATAACTGTCAGTTATTATTCTATATAGTTTGTAAACTAAAATAATTTGTTAAAATTATTTCAGTTACATAATGTATACAACCAGGAAAACTAGATGAATAGCAAAATTTTGAACTTGGAAGGGAAAAAATTATTAGCCCCTATGTGAAATTTAAAATTTCCCTCAATAATGAATGTAAGCAAGGAAACACAATAGTGTAAAAGTACCTGTGCTTGTCCCCATAGAATTTATATTACAAATACAGCAAATCTTGAAAAACCATTTCTATTTGGCAGTACTTCAAATTTGTGGAAGTTATTAGACCTACCAGTAAATGATGTGACTTGGAGCCATGTGTATTATATGATAAAATTTGTTTTTAATACTTTGATAATTACTTTAAATAATTTATTTTCTTTGCATTTTATGCATTTGTAAACATTATTTTGAGAAGCAATCCATAAGATATACTAGAGTGTCGAGAAGGTAAACAACACAAAAAATTAAGATCCATGCCTAGAGAAACTCAAAGATATAGAAAAAGAGACAATGGCAAGTATACTCACTCATACAATGTATAGGAAAAACATTTTGAAAACCTAAATTGCTCATTAGTAGAAGGAATAAACTACAATTTAYCCATACAACAGAATATTACAAGAGTTAAGGTGAAAAATTGGATTTATACCTAAAATGGATGAATATCAAAAGCAATATTTGGTGATAAAAGGAAGTTACAAAAAGATGTATAGAGTATGGGTTTGTTTATATAAATCAATTTTACAAATATTTAAAAACATACATTTTTAAAAGATATATGGAAATAAAACCAATTTCAGGAAGTGGTTCCTCTGGAAGGGATGCATAATAAGAAGGTCTTCAGAAAAACACAATGCTTTTTTTTACTTTTTAAAAAGGAATTATATGAAACAGAGCTATGTGTGGTGGTGCCTGCTTATAATCCCAGTGGTTCAGGAGGCTGAGGCAGGAAGATCATGAGTTCAAAGCCAGCCTCAACAATGGTGAGGTACTAAGCAACTCAGTGAGACCCTGACTCTAAATAAAATACAAAATAGAGCTGGGGATGTGGCTCAGTGGTTGAGTGCTCCTGGGTTCAATCCCTGGTACCAAAAAGGAAAAAAAAAAGCAGGGTGGAATTATATGAAACAGAAAAATGTTAACATCTGTAGATGTAGGAAAGTATATTATTTTCAACACATTTTCATCATATTTGAAATAATTCATAAAAAGATAAAATTTTTAAGAGTTTAAAAATTTTTAACTATATAATTAGCTGAAGGTCCATGCTGGGAAGCAGTTGCAAATAATTTAGATAATTTAGGTACATCATGCTAAGTGAAATAAGCCATTCAAAGATAAATACTGAATGATTCCACTTACATAAGGTACGTAAATTAATCAAATTCTTAGATGAAAGTAGAAAGGTAGTTGCCAAGAGCTGGGGAAAAGGAAATACTCAATAAATAGAAAAGAAAGATGAAAAAAGATCTAGAGATCTGCAATACAATGTGCATATAGTTAAAAATAGTGCACTGGACACTTAAATTTTTGTTATGAGGTTTTTGCCACAAGTTTTAAAAATAGGGTAGAGTCGCACCCAGGCAGGCTAAGAAGTTTGTATTTTGTCATAGGCACAACAGGTACTGAATGTTTTTGCAAAGGGGGTTGACACTGAAAAGCTCATAAAGATTACACTGGCAGATATGTAATGGCTAAGTGAGAGGGAAAACAGCATGGAAAGATGAATGAGAAGACAGCTGTGAGGATTCAAGGCCAGAAAAGGATTACGGAAAGAGGACAACAGAAGATGCAGGATACAGGGAGCAGCAAAATAGCTTAGCAGCAACTGGTCATAGAGGGTAAGAGAAGGAAAGAAGATGAAATGCACCACAGGTTTCAAGCTGGAGGAGACAGGATGCTGATGACAGACAGACAGTCAGGAGGAAAGACCATTGCAAACAGATCTATAAATTCTATTATAACAATATTTCCTCGAATGTATTCCAGGGAATGTTGGTTTCTGTTATGCCCCACGGGAAAAGAATTCTGTCAGCACATACTRTATGTCCTCTCTCAGAAATTAGATATACACGTCAATACGTCCAATACTGTTATGCCTTGCAATAAAGACAYTGTTTAACCCAGCAAGTCTCACACTTTACTGGCCAAAGGGCATTTAAAAAAAAAAAAAAGTACCTCATGAAACCTTTCTTTTTATTTTGTCCCCATAAGAAACCAGAAACATCTTATGCAACAAACTTGAGGAAGTGCTGTCATATAGAATAATTTTCCTTACAAAATTTCTCATTCTTATACTAAGAATGATTACTCTCAGACCTCTTCATCATCACAGCTACCAACAGTTGATTTTCACTAAGGGTTTCTATCCCTGCAGGAAAGTTACCGTATGTAGGACAGGTGAATAGTAAAAACCAGTGTGCAATGTGGGCACTACRGCTGCTGAACAATTACTGCTTTAGATTTAATGATTCCAACTGTATTCCAATGAAGTGGAAAATCTAGATGGATACATTTTTAGATATTTACAATCTACTAAAATTGAACACAAAGGATATTAGAACCCAAACAGCAATTAGGTTGAAATAGTAATGAAGTCTCCCAACAACAAAAGGCCCAGGACTGGATGGATTCTCTGATGAATTTTATCAGACTTTTAAAGAAGAGTTAAAATTGATACTACACAAACTATTTCATAAAACAGAGAGGTAAAGAACTTTTCAAAATCATTCTGTGAACATTACCCTTAAGACATCTTCTGGACTGTGTCCTAATTTGTTGGATTTTGATCCAATTTCCTGCCTGTGTGCCTGCACTCACACTTTATTAGTCATTAGTCTTCTTTAGAAAAGGCTTGTTTCAAAAAGAACCATAACAACTTGATAGCTTTGAATTTATAAATATCTAGTCTAGATTTTCCATAAGCTAGTCATCTGTTTCCTCATTTCAAAAGATAAAACAGTGTTAGACTGTGTTTTACAAATGTTGGATTTGTTTTGCAAATGCATGAAAAGCAATACTTCCTAATTTGCCTATATTTGTGCCCACAAAATTTGAAATCATCATCTCTAGACAGATACTGCTATAAACAATAGGAAGGAGCAAGTTGTTTGTGTTTGCAGACACATGGATGCTTATGTACACAGAAACACAATTATTCACTATATATGTACATATATGTATATTTAAATGTCACACTGCACCCTATAAGTTTAGACATTTATCTATGCATCAACTAAAATTAAAATAGTTTAAAAAGAAAAAAAAGTCATTWTATGAAACCRGTATTACCCTGCTACCAAAACCTGACGACACAACAACAACAAAAACGCTTATACATCAATAACCTTGATGAACATAGATACACAAATCCTCAATAAAATACTTGCAAATCAAATTCAACAACATTTTAAAAGTTCATATACCGTGATCAAATTTGTTTCATTCCAGGGACACAAGGATGGTTCAAAATACACAAATCAATAAACATACCACATAAAMAGAATCAAAGATAAAAATCACATAATCACCTTGGTAGATGC